CTCGTAGAGCGCCATGAGCGTGGCGCGTCGTGCCGCCGCACGCTCGGGACCCCTGCGCGGTTCCAGAGGTTCTACCAACTTTGGCTTCTCCTGGTTGCCATAGCCTTGGTCACCACGGCAACTGACGGCGCAGGAAAAGGAACCAATAGCAAGGACGCGGGCTTTGGTAGGGGTGGGGCTAAGGGGGGCGGTGCCGACTCGTGGACCAGAATCCTAGCTTTACGCGTTGGGTGCGCTTTTCCAAAGGCTGACCAGAAATAGAATGTTTCCGTGCATCAGTACCGTAGCCATCGCCCTTGTTAACATTTGTGTAAAATAAAATTTTCACAAACATCGATTTAAAATAAATAGCTGAACAACAACAACAAAAATACCTGCATATGTGTCATCTGTATTCCGGAATGTGTTTCATTGTATACTTAAGTCCAACTACTCACAGCACACCCTACATAGGCGAAAACACAGAGATCATAAATATATGTAGCCTTAGTCCTGAACCCGGTCCTGGGCTAAGACCAAACCCAGGTCCCTTCTCTCCAAATTTTCTATTGTTTTCACTGTACTTTGTAGCAGGACAGTAACGGAAACAGGACACCAAACTCCCTGCTCTTCGAGGGATACGGATAATTACTCTAGCTTTCTCTGCTATACTTTTGTTACCTTATATGGTGCACAAGCTTGGCTACCTGTTTTAGGGAAAGTTATGGTACTCTCCAAAGATAACATTGATTATCTTAATTGAAGGCTCACCTTCCCCTGCCCTCTAGTATTTTGAACATGGCAGAAGGATTTTTTTTTAAAACATGGTCAACAGCCAAGTTCTTCATCAAAAGGCCCTTAAAGATCACATTGCAGTGCCAAGATAGCGTGAGGTTTGTGCTCAGAATGGAGTTCAGTAGCAGATGCTCCTTTTTTTGATACTATTTTGAAGGCAACCTAAAAGTGGTTTTTTTCCCTTTCTAGTTTTATTGTGCTATAACTGACATACAGCACTGTATAAGTTTAAGGTGAATAGCATAATCATTTGACTTACATACATCACGAAATGATTACTACAATAAGTTGAGTGAAAATCCATCATCTCATATAGAAATGAAATTAAATAGAAAAAATTTTTTGTGATGAGAACTCTTAGGATTTACTCTTAGCTTTCATATATAATGTAGAGCAGTGTTAATTATATTTACCATATTGTACATTACATCCCTAGTACTTATTTATCTTATAACTGGAAATTTGTACCTTTGACTGCCTTTATCCAATTCCCCTTCCCCTCCCCTACCTCTGGTAACCACAAATCTGATCTCTTTTATGAGTCTGTTTGCTGTACAATTAACCTACAACACTATGTAAGTTCCTGTTACACAACATAGTGATTAAATATTTCTATACATTTCAAAATGACCACCACGATAAATCTAGTTACCATAATCTAAAAGTGGGTTTTAAGTGAACAGCTAAGATCCTAACAACACAGGCAGAGAGATCAATAACTGCCCACTTGAGAAAACTATCCAGGGTCCTTACCACAGTCCAAGGTGACAATGTCATCAACTGTAAGATGTTTTTGACATCTTCTGGTCTAATACTAATTCTTGCTTTAAAGCTTTTCTGGGATGGCAACATAGCTCTTAAGTACAGCAATTGTTAGGCTTAAATCTGTTGTGATTCTGACATTATATTTTATCTATGCTTTAAGTGAATGTCTTTCATTTATTTACATAACCATTAAAGTAATATTTAGAATAGATGGTTCTAATGTTAACTCCTGAGGGTGGCTCTTCTCTGAGGAAAAGGTGTTTGCCTCCAAACCATCTTCTTTCAGCAGAAGGAAACACACCTCCCCTGAGATGCCATGAGCTTTGCAAAAGTATTTAATAATAATGGATACTAATATTTACTCTTTGTTTCCATGACTTGAGGAAGCTACTCTTTGTGGTTTTATTTCATTTTTTTTGAGAGACTAATAGTTTTTTTAAACGTTAAAGATTCTGTATATTGTGTAATTTTCACACATTCAGGATTGAGAACTAACTGTTCCGTTTTCATTTCCATAATTTTCTCGGGCTTTATGCAGTTTACCTCCAAGGAGAAAGAAAGTCATTCTCTTAAAACTATGCATTTAAATCACGTTCTACTCCTTTTTAGATGCTCCTTTCCAGGGTCTTTTGAATCAGTTTAGAACTCCTGAGCGTTTGCTTTAACACTTTGCAACATTTATTTCACCTTGGCATTTATATCACTAAACCTTTGGCTTCCAAGTTCCCTCTTCCAACTCCAGCCTTTGTTTCTATCTGTTAAGGAAAGTTTATACTTTGGAAAATGTACCCTTCTCTCTGAAACCTAAGATCCAGATTCTCTGTGAAGTCTTTCTTGGTAAACTTTACTTGGCTTTGTGTCAGCCCCCATTGCCCTAGCCATCCCTCAGTATCCATGTTCACATACTTTTCCAACATTTGAAATTTACTCTTCATGTTTTATAAGCCTGTTAATGTGTAACTGCATATATTCATTATCCTATTTCTCCTCCTGACTCACCTCTTACAACTAACTACCCCATCAAGGAAGGCATCCAGTGTCCTTAGAACATTCAATAAGCTAATGAACCAATAGGTAAAGAAGGTGATGCATATCATCAAGGCAGATAAGAGAAACCAATTAGAAAGGTGAACTGGAAAAAGAAAAAGGTAGGTAAAGATGGAAGACAGAAAGACTCTGCACATCACTGAGACCATCAGGTGACATGTCTGTAAATTGGTGAGTAGTGGATCTCTCCCCTGAGAAGTACACTAAGCTCTTCCAGGTGCAAGACAGTGTACACATGCTTTGAACTAGTATAAAATGACCAGCTCTCTAAAGGGAAGCAGGGGTCTTGAGTCCAATTTCTAACTCCTCCATTCATTCACTGACTATCAGACGGGGAACAACTGTCTTCATTCCTCAGTATTTAATTCTGTTTGCAAAATACGTATTTTAGTTTTTATACTCACTCTCTAGCTGATCTCATCATAAAGTTCAATAGCTTCAAAACTTCTCTCCTGAATTAGACACTCATAAATCCACTCACCTACTCTACATCTTCACTTGGATGTATCTTCTGGGCATCTCATACTTAATATATACAAAACCAAATTCTTGATTCTCACTCCCTAAACTGGCTGTACTTTATTTCAGTAAATGACAATTCCATCCTTCCAAGAACTGTGACATAGACTTGTCCCTTATAGATCATATCCAACTGATCAGCAAATTTTGTTGGTTCTACCTCCAAAATGTATCTAGAATACAGCTGCTTCCCTCCACCTCCACAGACAGCATCTTGGTCTAAGCCAACATAATCTCTTACACCTGGATTATCACAATAGTCTCTTAACTGTTCTCTGGCTTCCATCCTCAACACCCTATAGTTTACTGTCTACACAGAAGTTAGCCTGATCACTTAAAAATGAAAGTCATATCATGTCACACTTCTGCTTAAAACCCTCCACTGATTTCTCATCTCATTCTAAATAAAATCCAGAGTTCTTCATATGGAATTCAAAGATCAACAGTTTTGTTCTATATATTTTTTATCTCATCTCCTAACACACTCCCTCTTATTTATTCAGTTCCAGCCACGAAGGGTTCCTTCCTGTTCCTAGAATACGCCAACCACTTAATATAATTAGGATTCCATCCCATCATCACTCTAGTCACCAACCATGTTTAATTTTTTTTAAACAGCACCTGTCATTACCTAACATTTTGTTTTGTTTTGTCCCACTAGAATGCAAACTCCATAAAAGCAGAGGTGTTGTCTGTTCTGTTCATTGCTTTTCCCCAGCACCTAGAACAAGGCTCCTACGTAAACAACAATAATTTCTAGGTATAAAATTCAAAGGATTTTTCATTTCACTAAAAATAAGCAAGCAAGCAAACACCTATTTAACTGCTCAGACACACAATCTTAAAATAACAAAAATACTTTTAGAATGAAGTTGGATTCCACAACATTTATCGGGAATTTCAACTGAGGAAATGATGGATGACAACATTCAAACATACAGGCCTTTCAGAGGCATCAGAATCACAAGCATGTGGCAAGGATCATATGCCCAATTAAGAAAATATCTTGTTACATATTCACCAGCTCATAAATAGATGATGAATCACAGCAGACTGCCCTGATGACTCTGAGGAAGAAAGGAATGACATCACTGGAAAACCTCAATGCTCAGGCAGGTGACACGCACACACATAGCTTAGGCTGTGATTGCTGAACCCCATGCTGCCTGCCAAAGAAACCTGTCTCATGACCAGCTATCAGGGGAATTCTCCGAGTCTTACAGTCACCTCTAACTCATTACTTTGCCAGTTAAGGTTAAGGGGTCTCTTTGTGATCAATGTGATCGAATACTCCTCAAATGCATATTTATGATACTTTTCTTAAATGTTTATTCAAACATTTATTCATGAATAAGAAAAGGAAACGGGATTTGTTTAAATTCAGTTTCTAGGCCCAACGCAACCTATTACGGCTGTCCCCAATCCTGAACCCCAGGGTTCAGTACCTCTCCCTACACAGTCCCTTCAAACTAGTCACACTCTCCAGATTGTGAGTCCCCAACCTATTACCACTCCAAACAATACTCTTCAAACTGTCAATGCCATAAACAGACCCCTCTTATGTCATCCATACCTCCAAAATCCCCCTCTTGTCACCAACGCCCCGGTCAGACTTCCAATGAACGGTCCGCTCTAAGAGCTCTATCCTATCAGCCAGACCCCTACACACCCCTTCCCGTTACTAATGTCCACTGATACCCTACTCTCGTCACCAGTTTCCGAGAATCCCCTCCCCAGTCACCAGTATCCCTCACAGACACCCTTGTCGCCAACTTCGTCCTCCCGACTCCACCGGCAGCCCCTCTAGGCGTGTTCTCCAGCCCCGCCCCTAGGCGCCAAGAGCTTGAGGGAGGCGCCGGAAGCCCCGCCCCTGGCCTGTTGCTAGGCTCCGGCAGCCGGAAGTCCCGCCTGCCTCGTAGTCACTGCCGCCGCCGCCGCCGCCGCCTCCGCCGCCGCCGTCGTTGTTGTTGTTGTGGTTGGTGCGCTGAACTCCGCGGCTCCGAGAGCCGTCTGCGTCCTTTCCCCACCGCCGCCATGAAGTGGATGTTCAAGGAAGACCACTCGCTGGGTAAGCGCTAG